CCTCTGCGATCCCGGCTCGCTGAAAGCTGGTTTCTAGGGTTTTGTTTAGCTTCTATATGTTACAGTATTTTTTAAACTGCCGACTCAGAGGCCTGCAAGGCAGGTGGGGAACGTTGCAGTCCTCCATCACTGAAGCAAGCAAGCCTCATGTTCGCTTTAAACTGCCTGGCTGCCGGCCGCCATCTTGGCTGGAAGTTAATTTGCATATCGCCCTGATTAGCCAATGGGAAGGGTAGCGGTCGTACGCCAATTACCATCTTTCTCTTTTATTAGATAGGATTACCAAGCTATTTTCCACCATTTCACTCTGTGTCTTAAATAAATGAGAAGAATTCCAGTTGCTCCATATCATTGACAACAGTATTACTAATCTTTTAATTTTGACCACGCAAATGAGTATGAAATAGTATTTTGTTACCGTTTTAGTATCCCTAATGACTAAATATATTGGGCAGTTATTTACTGTATATCCTCCTTGAACCGCATATATGTCTTCTTTTGTGAACTGTTGGTTCACGTCTTTTGCCATTTAACAAAAGTGGGTGGTTTGTCTTTTTATTATTGATACGTAGGGATACTTTTTATACATGGATACAAATTCTTTGTCAGATATATGCATTCCAGATTCTGTCTCTCAGCCTGTGGGAATGCCTTTTCATTTGGCTCATGTTGTCTTTTGATGGGCAGAAGTTTTTAATTTTAATAAAAGTCTATCAAGTTTTTTCTTTCATGGTTACAGCCTTTTGTGTCTTCTTTATGAAAGTGTTGACTATTCCAAGGACATTAAGATATCCTTTTTTAAGCAAAATAAAAGCTTTATAATTTTAGCTTTCATGATTCTATGATCCATTTTGAATAATTTTTGTGTGTGAGATAGAGGTCATAGTTCTCCCCCCCCCCCCCCCGAAGGATATCCAGTTGTTCCAGAATGATTTGTTTTTTTGAAAAACTTTTCTTTCTCTATTGTGTTGCCTTAGTGTATTTGTCATATTTGGGACGTGGGGTGGTGGACTCTCCACTCTATTCCATTCAACTATTTGCCTTTACTTCAGCCAACATCACATTGTCTTAATTACTGTAGCTTTAAATCAGGAAGTAAAAATCTAACTTTGCTTTTGTTTTTCAAGATTATTTTGGTTTTCTGTATCCTCTGTATTTCTATATAAATTTTATAATTATCTTGTTAAGAAAACCTGCTGGTATTTTGACTGGAATTGCTTTGAGTATAAAGTTCAATTTGTGGAGAATTGCATAGTTAGCAGTACTAAATCTGTATGCTAACCAGAAAAGCCTTTGAAGAAAATATTTCTTTTACTATTTGTCAATGCGCTATGGTTTAACATAAGTGAGATTTTCATTATTTAACTTGAACATGCGATGCCATTGGTTAACAATATGTGCTTCATGAAACCAACATGTAAACTTTGGTAACTATTATATTATATTTCTGAATTTTATTCTGGTTTTCCTAGTTCTTTAAAGAAGTGCCAGAACCCATTGCTGACCTTTTTCAAATAAAATTACTTTAGGCGCTCTTGAAACAACACGAAAAGGACACCTTGCAATTAAAGGAGCTGAAAAAGACCAATGAGGTAAGCTTTCTCATGTTTTTTCTGTGGAGTTGGCACCTTACAAATACATCAGTAAAATTATATACTGTCAATAAAATGGAATCAATGATAATTTCCCCAAAACTGGTAAAAAGAAAACACAAAAAACCCACAGAAGAACTAAAGCTGAGTTTGCTGAAATCAATAAGTCAAAAAGGATTTTAGAATTATCTGTAAAACAAAGCCAGTAGTGTCTTTTTAGAGCCTGATTTGGACAAATATATGGGCAATATATTGTGTAATCTTCAATGTCAAAGGTCTTTCGTTTCTAGTATGGCTCAAACCACAAAAGGATTAAATAGTAAAATGCCAAATTCTTTCCTTCAACCTCTGAAAAGTACTCTCCTGCCCCCTTGGAACTCTAACTCCAAGCCTTTCCTTAAAACTTGGAGTTTACATTATCCTCCACCACCACCCCAGCCCCTCAAGGAACTCTCTCCTGAGACTTCCATGTGGAAGATACCTGAAGGGAAACCCTTCAAACCCACAAAGTGCCTTGTGATTCATCTTTCACTGAAAATTTAATTTGGATCCAGAATGGACACGTTTGGGACATGATTAGCCATTATGAAGGCATGGAATGATACCTTAGAATCCAGGCAGGGCTTCAATATTGTTGGGCAAACAGATTGCAATGTCCTACAAAGTGAAGGAATGGGCTTTGGAGCAAGATAGATCCCGTGTATTCTTTTTCTCCCCCCTTTTAGTGAATGTATTGGGGTGACACTGGTTAACAAAACTATACAGGTTTCAGGTGCACAATTCTACAATGCATCATCTGTACACTGTATTGTATATTCACCACCCCAAGTAAAGTTTCCATCCATCACTATTTTTCTCCTTATATCCTCCTCCATCTCTGTTTACCCTCCACTGACTGACAGTCGCCACAGTGTACTCTTATAACTGCTTTATTGAGCTTGTCTACTGATGAGCTATAAATTAGTTACCTCCTGCATGAGCTCCAACCAGGGTCTGGGCCAGAGAGGAGCCTGCAACCAAGATATGTGCCCTTGACCAGGTAATTTTTTCATTGGAATTTTACCATTGTGAATTTTACCTTTATGGATGCTGAATATTTTTGTATTCCTTTAAATATTCTTGAGCTTTGTTCTGGGATTCAGTTAAGTTACTTGGATACAGTTTGAGCTTTTCAATGTTTTCTTTTAAGCTGTGTTAGGCAGAATTACAGCAGTTTTTGGGCCGAATTTTTCCCCACTACTGAAATGATACCCTTCTGAGTAGTCTACCCAATACTATGTACAGAAGGGTTTTTCTACCCTAGCTGGTAGGAATCTGAGCTATTTCCAGTCCTGTGTTGGTTCTGGGGATTGTTTCACCTACTCCATGCTGGGGACTCTGTCCCCCACAACCTCATTTCCTTTGTTTGTTTCCCTCCATCATGCCACTCCAGTGGCCCTGGACTTCTTGCTGTTTATCAGGCTAGGATGCTCCCACTTTGGAGTCTTTGCACTTGATGTTCTCTCCTCCTGAAAAGTTCCTTGCCAGATATCCACATGGCTAGCTTCCTCACTGCCTTCCAGTCTTCACTCAAATGCTACCTTCTCAGGGGCCACTCAACAATCTGCCTGGCACTTCCTTTTCCCTGTTCTACTTTTCTTTTCTTTTTCTTTTTCTTTTTTTTTTAACATATATTTTATTGATTTTTTTTACATAGAAGAAGGGAGAGGGATAGAGAGTCAGAAACATTGATGAGAGAGATCGATCAGCTGCCTCCTGCACGCCCTCCACTGGGGATATGCCCGCAACCAAGGTACATGCCCTCGACCGGAATCGAACCCAGGACCCTTCAGTCCACAGGCCGATGCTCTATCCACTGAGCCAAACCGGTTACGGCTCCCTGTTTTACTTTTCTACACAGACTTACAACCATCTAGCCTGATAAACTCAATAAAGGCAGGGATTTTTGTCTGTTTTCTTTACCACTAATCCCAGTTTCTAGAACAGTGCCTGGCATTTCACAGACATTCTGTAAATAGCAACTGATTTTTTTGAATGAATAAATCAATGAAAAAAATGCAAAATGACCTGCTTTGTACAATGCAGTTGCAGTAAATGATGATGCCCTTCAAGTTTATGCAGAGTGGGAGGTTGCTCTACATGGGAATAGCTATGCGGATGGTAAGAGTTGAATGAGCCTGGCTCCTGAAAGCAGATCCTAATCTAGTCCCTTTTCTTTTTTTAATCCTCACCTGAAGGTATTTTTCCATTGATTTTTAGAGGAGTAGGAGAGGGAAAGACAGAGAGCAACATCAATGTGAGAGAAATGCATAAATTAGTTGCCTCCTGCATGAGCCCCAACCAGGACTGGGGCCAGGGAGGAGCCTGCAACCAAGATATATGCCCTTGACCTCAATCAAACCCAGGACCCTTTGGTCTGCAGGTTGACGCTTTATCCACTGAGCCTAACCAGCTAGGGCTGGTCCATTTTTATAGTCACTTCACCATCTCTCTAAAGTAGATCCCACACTTACACTGTGTCCTCCACCTGCATCCTGGATTTGTTTTTAATCTACTATTGTAATTATTTTGTTTGCTCTTATTTAATTTTTTTATCTTTTCCTCACTAGAATGTGTCCCCCATAAGAGTAGGAATTATATTTGTCTTGCTCATCGTAATATTCATAGTACCTAATACACTGGATCTACCTTGCTCCAAAGCTCATTCCTACAGTAGGTTTTTTGTTTCTAATTAACAGACTTTTTTTTTAGAGCACGGTTAAGTTTACAGAAAAAATAAGCAGAAAGTACAGAGATTTCACTTACACTCCCCATCCCCACACAACTTCCTTTATTATTAATATCTTGCATTGGTGAGTTACATTTGTTACAGCTGATAAACTACTATTAACATATTATTTTTAACTAAGGTTTATAGTTTACATTAGGGTTCATTATTTGTGTTGTACATTATATAGTTTTTGTCAATCATGTTATATAGTCACCATTGTAGTATCATACAAAATAATTTCTCTAACCTAAAGATCTTCTGTTCTCCACGTATACATCCTTCCCTTTCCCTCCCAACCCTTAGCAACCACTGATATTTTTACTAACTCAATAGTTTTGCCTTTTCCAGAATGTCATATAGTTGGGATCTATCGTTGATATTTAATAAATACTTGTTTAATGAATGAATAATTGCTAGCTGTTGTGACAACCCATGTGAGCTCTGGTGAGGACTGGCTCTGGGGCAGTGACAGTGAGCTTGCAAAGGAGGGTACAGATGGGGAAGACAAAGGGAGGGTGTAGGGTTAACAGGGCATAGTGACTGAATGGTGCAGAAGAAGGAGTAAAGTCAACGCTGCACATTCTAGTCCAGGTACCTGGAGAAGAGAATAAATGGGCAGATACCATCATGCTGTCCCAAACAGTTTCTTCTTACACAGATCATAGAGGAAGAGTTGCATGCACAAGCTGTTATCCTAGAATCACTGAACACCACCCTCTACCAAACCCAGATGGAACTCCAGAAGGAGGTGAGTCCTGCCTGGAGTGGGGATGGGCATTTGTGGGAGGATCCCAGGTCTCTGTGTAGCTCAGCCATACCGCTCTGGTTGGGAAAAGATAGCTATGAAAATGTACATGTCTTTCAGAAAGCTGCGGTGGCAAATCTGGAGAAAACACTCCAGACCAAGCTTGCTGAAACGGAAGAGAAGTTTAAATTCACCATACAGCTCCTGAGAGAAGAAAACATTCATCTGAGGTGTGAATGGGGCGCAAAAACATGGCTGACTTATCTTTAGGAGTGGGGAATAGGTGAAGATGAGGAATAGGTGAAGATGAACTCAGGTGTTTCCTAATGAAGTCAAGGCACAGGCACTTTCAGGAGGAAGATGTTCACAGGGAGCCTGGCCACAGAATTTACCTGCTGTGGTCAAACAGTTCGTTTGATAGTTACTATCTCTTTTTTTCATGCTGTTGAGCATGTTTACCATCATTACTCTCAATTCTTGTTTCAGATAAATTTCTTATCTCTGCTTCATTTATCTCTTCTTCTAGAGAATTCTGTAGTTCTTTCATTTGGGGGTGTTTCTTTGACTCCTAATTTTGGCTCTTTGGGTTTGTGACTATGTTTTAGGTAGATCCTCTAAACCTCTCCCATCTTTGATGCAGGACAGTGTTAAAGGCTGTTTCTGACTCATTGGATCAAACAAAGACTCAAAGCCTCCAGAGACTGCCTCTGCCTACAGACTAATAGGATTCCAACTTGAATTCCCCCCCCCCCCCCGAGTTTGTTTGAAATGGTGCTGTGTCTCAGTTTTTATGCAAAATGGTACATGGTATTTATCTGAGACTCTTTAAGTGTATTCAGGATTTAAAAAACGAAAGATCATTTTTAAACATGTCCCCTGAGAGTTTAGAGGTGTAGCTGTTAGTGGTTTACCCTTAGATGCAGCTATATTGGGTTCCTGTGGAAATCAATTTTAGGTCAGAAATTAAACTGCAACCTGAAGATGCATCTTAAATTATTGAAATAGCCCGGCCGGTATGGTTCAGTGGTTGAGCGTCAACCTATGAACCTGGAGGTCACAGGTTCGATTCCTGGTCAGGGCCTATGCCCACATTGCAGGCTCGATCCCCAGTATGGGGTGTGCAGGAGGCAGCCAATCAATGATTCTCTCTCATCATTGATGTTTCTATCTCTCTCTCCCTCTCCCTTCCTCTCTGAAATAAATAAGCTTAATAAAAATATTTTTAAAAAATTATTGAAATAAATTTTGGTCAATACTTTAATAAAGGGAACTTATTTATTATGTTGATTTAGTGGAAAATTCCTCACATGGGCATTTTGTCACCCACATATCTTGTCTCACTAAATTCAAAACTACTGCAAGTAATGAGTGAGATTGCCCCCAGCGAAAGAATGAAACCACACTCTCTCTCCCCAGATATCCTACCCCACTGTCTACTCTTTGAGTCTATAGTGATACATTTTCTCTTTCTTTATAGGCAAAAGATAAATACCAAGAATGGAGGAATTTATGAAGAACGGTCTGGAAGGTCAACCTGTCTTACTATTTATGAGGATGATACTGAGACTTTAGAAGAGGGTAGCAACAAAAGACAAGAATTATGAGCAGAAAAGTTGTTCTCCATCATCGGAATTGGTAGGAGCACCATCACTGTAAGCTTAGAGTACTCCTGTAGGTTTTCTTGAGAAATGCATAAGATGGGTTTGGTTTTGGGGTTGCCTTGATTCTACTTTCGTCTTTTCACAATTTGCTTTCTTCTGAGTGGTTGGGACTGTTTGAATTCTCATCTCAATTACATAGATTTTTTTTTCATGATTTTCACTGAAAAGTGATGTGCTCTGTAGCTAGAGCTGGGCTTTCTCTGGGTGTACTATTTTCTCTTCCACCTTTACATATTTTTATTCTGAAGACACTGATCTGAAAATTTTCTTCCTATAAAATGTTAACTATATTTTGGACTGTACCTGGGGCATTCAGTTAGCAAGAAAAAATTTATTGGTTTGATTTCAAAAACCTTTCGTTTTCACGTGTCCCCACTCTCTCACCTCTCAGTCACGTTCCTGTGATTTAGGAAGAGTTTCTGATAATTCTTGCCAGACTCTCTAAGTCATTGCTAGAATTCAAATGCCACTGTGCAGGCAGCATAAATAAGTGAAATGGGCTGCACATAAAGAAAAACAATCTGACCAAAACAATAATTGGTAATTGGCAGCAGCTTCAATAGAGGGAACTAGAGGGGGGAGGCAGTGAGAGAAACCATTCCATTGCTGCCATACAGGAGCATGGAGTTAATGGGATCAAATATTCTGATTTTTCAAGAGAAGGTATTCTAGTTTTTATATCACATCTCCCAATTTTTAAATATGAACAACACCTTTTTAAAAAATATTGATTTCAGAGAGGGAGGGAGAAGGAGAGAGAGATAAAAACATCAATGATGAAAGAGAATCATTGATTGGCTGCCTCCTGCATGCCTCTTATTGGGGATTGAGCCTGCAAAGGCGTGTGCCCTTGACCAGAATCGAACCTTCAGTCTGCAGGCCGATGCTCTATCAACTGAGCCAAACCAGCTAGGGCTGAACAACACATTTTTAAAAATACAACGGTGTGAGCCAACATTGGGGGGTTCAAGTAAAATGTATCTGTGATCCAAACATTTTCCACCTGTGAGATGCCATTGGCAAAAAACAAAACAATCTCTTGCGAACAGTAAAGTTAAGTTATATTTTATTAGAAGTACTTTTGAAAAACTAATTTTTTAAAAAAACCTAATTAGCTTTTAAAAACAAGATAATTCATGAGTATTTCAAATGAAATTATAATTTTAAAAGCATGAATAAAGCACAGAAATGTTAGCTAAAAAGCAAATCAAGCACGTACAGAAGAATGCATGTACTACAAGAGCAATAAGAGGAAAGGCTGAAAAGAGAATTTGGAAGTAGATTGTAACAGATTTGTAAAACCACTTTGGGTTTTTAAAAGCTTTTAATGCAAGAAATAGTATTTTCCAATTTGTATTTTTTTTAAATATATTTTATTGATTTTTTACAGAGAGGAAGGGAGAAGGATAGAGTCCCAGTAACATCAATGAGAGAGAAACACTGATCAGCTGCCTCCTGCACGCCCCACACCGGGGATGTGCCCGCAACCAAGGTACATGCCCTTGTCCAGACTCGAACCTGGGACCCTTGAGTCTGCAGGCCAACGCTCTATCCACTGAGCCAAACCGGTTCTGGCTCCAATTTTTATTTTAAAGAAACTTGTAGTGCAAGTTACTTGAGACACAACAGTACAAAACGGACACTCTGACCCTGTTTTATTCCCCTGAAAGTCAGAAATGTCCCATGTGAAAGCCCCCCCCCCACCCCCAACCCTGTATGAAGAGGGTAGAAGGCATCAATATTATCAGATAGGGAATTTAGGGCCAAGAAGGCTGTGTAAACAAAACTTGTTATTTCTTTACTAATTAAGACCAAACTTCTTTGTCTTATAAATTCTTCCCAAATTTATTGTTATTGTGTCTAAAAGACATAAAATCTAACTTTTTTTAAAATATATTTTATTGATTTTTTACAGAGAAGAAGGGAGAAAGAGGGATAGAAAGGTAGAAACATCAATAAGAGAGAAACATCGATTTAGCTGCCTCCTACACACACCCCACTGGGGATGTGCCTGCAACCAAGGAAGGTACATGCCCTTGATGGGAATCGAACCTGGGACCCTTCAGTCCACAAGCTGATGCTCTATCCCTTGAGCCAAACCGGTCAGGGCAATCTTTTTTTTTTTTTTTTTTTTGAGTCTCATATTTCTGTGAACTCCAGCATGTATGAAAGTTAATTTTATTTTTCTATTAATTTATCTTACATCATTTTAATTACTATGAATAAAAAGGAAAAGTTTTCCTTACATATAATTGTAGTGTGGAGGATGGCTTGGAAAGAGAAGGACTGAAAGTACAAAACAAAACAATTCTTAACAATTTGAAGCAGCAGTCGCCAACCTTTTGGACCTCACGGACCACCGGTTGTCAACTGCTGATTTGAAGGGAATTAAATGATTTGGGGTTGAAAGCAGATCAGAGATGTGTGGAGTACATTCTGCCACTGTTTTTGAGCCATTGTAATGTCGTATTTCTTTTAAACTTACTATCCTTTGTATCTATTATAGTTTGTAAAACTTTTTTATCAAATTAAAAATACAATTAAAACCATGCCTATGGCTATAAATATCTAGCTGTCATTGCAAAGCCAGAAATTTAGGCTTCAATCTGCATAAAAATTAGATTGTCATGACTCCCATTCTCTTCTCTCTTTGCCTTCAGAAACTGGGGGGTGGGGGGGTGGGACCGTACCCAGTTTAACACAGTGGATAGAGCGTCCACCTGCGGACCAAAGGGTCCCAGGTTCAATTCGGTCAAGGGCACTACCTTGGGGCTCATGCAGGAAGCAACCCATCAAAAAGGGAAAAATATCCTCAGGTGAGGATTAACAACATAAAATAAAATAAACGGGGGAGGTGCAGCAGCATCTTATTAACAATTAAATTAAGCATAGTGTTGTGCAAATAAATGATAGCATAAAGTAAAAGCATTATAATACAAAAATTAAGCATAGTGTTCTACATCAATTAAGGGGGAAGTAGAGTTTTTTTCTCAGCGTGAAAGTGGGTTGTGGCATCTGCTTCCCCATATTCTTCTTGTCGTCCTTATTGCTCACTTCAAAGTTTACCTCAGTGAGGATGGTGAGAATGTCGTCACCCCTGGAAAACAGAACATAGCATTGTGACCATCTGTGAGGGGAAAAGACTGGTCAACCCGTTCACCTGCTGTGCTTATGATCACTGTTTCTCTCAAAACACCAGGCAAGCCCGGCTGGTGTGGCTCAGGGGTTGAGCATCGACCTATGAACCAGAAGGTCACAGTTCGATTCCAGGTCAGAGCACATGCCTGGGTTGTGGGCTCCATCCCCAGTAGTGGGCATGCAAGAAGCAGCTGATCTTTGGTTCTGTCTCATCATTGATGCTTCTCTCTCTTTCTCCCTCTCCCTTCCTCTCTGAAATCAATAAAAAATATATTAAAAAAAAAACATCAGGCAGAGGAAATAAGTTGCTGAACCAAGACCTGCCATAGCATTTCAGGTAAAGGCTGTTTCAGAGCTTAATAACTTACCTTTGGTTTCCTCAGGGTCTCTGCAGACCAATCAGAAACCTCAGTGTTAACATGAGATTTGGCTTCTTCCCTCCCAATCTGTTTGTACCTCACTCTACTCCAGCTTCTATGTTACTTGCCCCCATCATCCTCTCAATGATCCCTAACATCCTCTGCCCCAAATTGACATTGCTTCTGTGGATTCATCCATGATGCAGCCAAACTTATGGGAAGTGAAAATCCAGTGTCTCCTGCAGCCATACCACCCCTTTCTCACCAGTCTCACTATCCAGTTTAATTGGGCCACCTGTTCATCCACCTCTGCAAATAAAATGAAAACATAGTGTTGATGTTATGGTTCACTCCTTTATCCGCCATAGAAAATTCTCATTCTTCATACACTTTAAACATAATAATGCTGAACTAGAAGGAACCTAGCAGAAGATTCCTTGCTATCCATCTGTCTGTTGTGTGTGCATTTGGGTGAACTGTGACATACAAAACTTCATGTAACTAAAAGAATCATGGGATATTTAAATGAGGAAAGGCGATTTTCCTACATTTTGTGGCTTTAAATCAGGCCAGATGAGTACAACAATAAAGGATTTCTGCTCTTTCACATTTCTCTCTCACAATACACCAAAGAAGGTGTGAGGTCGGTTAGCTATTATGGAACTTTTGACAGAGCCAGAGGATAGTACACATTGAAATGGGTTATTGCCTTTTTGGAAGACTTCTTAGAATTTTTTTAGTTAAGGTGGCACAGTCATGATTCTGCCCAAATACAGAGCTGGACTATATGACTTCACCATCCTTCACAGCAATCTGATACCCTGCCTGTCCTTTGAGGTGCTAACAAGGGGAAACTCCTCAGTAAGTATCTGTTTTTTTCTCTCTGTGACTAAAGATGTTAAGACTCGTCCTCTCTCCCACTTTGCAACTGACATGGGAAGTACAGCTCTGAGGCCCACAGCTGGACATGTATAGATGAATGACGGGTTGAGTAGGGAGGAATTACCTAGGACATCTTTCTCTCAGACTCTGGCACAGTGACTGGATATACCAGGTCCCCTCTGTGGGGTTTCGGTAGGAAACACAGTTGTTCACTGTGGCCATCCCCAGCAGAAAGTCAGCCTCAACTGGGATATTTCTCTTCTGGTTTGAGTCCATTTCTAAATAGGCTTCCTTCTCCTCTGAGTCGGTCTCAACAGCTATGCCTTTCTGGTAGTTATCCCCTTGGCAAGCCTGGATAAAAAAGATTTTCGGTTTGCCTGCAAGGGAAGGGCACTTCAAACCAGTGAAGTAAGACGTCAGCTCATAGATGGGGGCTTCCTGCCCATCGCAGCCATAGACAATGCCCTTGTCTCCATGGGAAAGGATGCAGCAGACGAAGCAGTCTTTGCCATTGTGGTCCATGCATTGGTAGTCTTTCAGGGTCTCACAGATTGTCTCTGCTGTGGAATCTTCGTAACGCACTACCTCAAAATGAAGCTCACTAAAGGTGTTGTGCAAAGCCTCTGAAAAGTGAAATACAAAAAGTCATATTACACCACAATAGTACCCAGAGCTAAAGAGAGCATTGATCAGATAAGAATTTGAACCAGAACTTAAAAACAAGATCCTCTATATTAGTGGCTAGATTCTAGCTGGAAAAAGTTTCCCAGTCTCGAGGCAACAAACAAAAGGAGAATACTATTGTTGGCCCATTGCCTTATTTCAGCTAGTCTACAAGATGAGTAAGCTGTTACTTAGGCTTAATACCAAACCAATCTAAAAAATAATTGTATTACTTACACTAATCAGAAAACAAAAACCAAAAGGACTTTTAACAAAATAGCCATACTTATTTTATTCTGAACGCTCTCAAAACTGTCAAAATAAAATATATGAATGTTTAAAAAGTCAAGTAGAACCAAAAGACCTATTACCAAAAAAAAACTCTCCCTCTCTAGCCCTCCCTATTACCCAGTCACATTCCACTTTCAAATTCTAACTGCTTTTTTTGTTGTTATCAGCCTCCATTTTGTAATAAATTTTGGTACACTGCTATTTATTGATTGATAAATTTTAGACTTTTGTATTGAATTACTGATATGGTGTTCTTACACAATTGTTTACAATTTTTAGTAGAATCAATAGTAATGTTTGTATTACTAGTTTTTGTTTAAACATAATATTATTTAATTATGCTTCCTTCTTTTTTTCAATTGTTGACACTATTATAGATGTCCCCCATTTTCCCCACCTTTGCCCCCTGCCCTGGCCTTCACCACACTGTTGTCTGTCTCCAGGGGCTATGCGTATATATCCTTTGACTAATCTCTTCACCTTCTTTCATCCAATTCCCCCTCCCACCTCCCCTCTGACATGTCAGTCTGTTCCATGTATCCATCCTCTGGTTCTGTCATGCTCATCAGTTTACTTTGTGTCCCCACATGCTCTATCTTTGAGACGGTTCCATGTACATTTGAGAAGAATATATTCTGCTTTGGGTTGAAATGTTCTGTTGTAAATATCAATTAAATCCTATTCCTGGCCCTTGGCAGCCTGTTTGAAGCTACAAGTGAGCCACAGTTTGTGGCTGCCTCTGTGGGCATGGCAAGGCCAGCTTTTACCAGGACAGGGCCCAGAGGTGGGTCCACAGGCCTCTCCAGGCTCCCAGGATCTGCCTCCACCTGCCAGCTGGCTGTTAGGCTCAGTCACTGAAAGAACCTCTGGCAGAATGGGGAGAGTGCGGATAGTGGATACTATCTTGATACCATGGCAGTGTTTTCACACACTGTAATACCTAACACATTCAACAGAAATACTAGTCATTTAGTTGAATTAAAGGCAAAGCTGGTTGCTACTTTTCAGTAAAAGCCCTTTAGTATGACTTAATATTTTATCTTTATGTGTATACATTGTTTTAATTTTTAAAATTAAGTTAAAAAAAAAAAGCAGAAAACTAGCAAATATCTAAGACTGTCCTTCACCTCCACAGGAAAATGTGGTTATAGTCATTTTTCTGAAATATACAGCTCTGTTGGTATAGCTTTTGTTCGCCCCTTTTGATAAAAACATAAGTATCCTATATAATAAAAGCCTAATATGCAAATCGACCAAACAGCAGAATGACTGGTCACTATGACGTGTACTGACCACCAGGAGGCAGACGCTCAATGCAGGAGCTGCCCCCTGGTGGTCAATGTGCTCCCCTGCTCAGCCAGAAGCTGGGCTCACAGCTGGCGAGCGCAGTGGCGGTGGCAGGAGCCTCTCCCGCCTCTGCGACAGAAGGAAGGAGCAGTGAGCAGGCGGGCAGTAAGGAGCGAGGGATCCTGGACTGTGAGAGGGCGCAGGCCGGGCTGAGTGACCCTCCCACCCCAGTGCACGAATTTCGTGCACGGAGCTTCTAGTTAGAAATATTTTACATCTCTTTTTGGAATCTACTGTACCTGCATCCAAGTCTGTTCCTTCCCTATCCTTCATTTTGTGAAGTTTGGGCACGTTCTCCCGTGCTTTGCTAAAATCATAATTATTAAAGATCACACAGTATCCTCGAGGTTTGCTTTTCATTCGGTAAACTTTGTCCGCTGTCTGAAAAACAAAAACACAACCCGGGAGCTGACACTGCAGGTCAGACACTTGAGATGTGAGCAAATAACTCCCTAGTCCAAGGTTAGGCTGGCCCCTGAGCCAGACTGGGCTCGTTCAATGGCTCCCACCCAAGCTGACATTGTTTCTCTAACAAGCCGGCTCATTTCTCCTCACACAGGACCCCCAGACTCTTGCTCCACCTGTAGTGTGTCTAGTTAATGTCCCAATACTTGGGCCTCCTGAGCACCTTGCACTTACATTCATATTGTCATCATAATGTATTATTTGTCCTCGTTTCTGCTCAAGGCAGATGATGTCTGGGTCAGGAACCAGGACTTATTCATTTGTGAGAGCTCAGCCAGGAGTTGTTCAATCAATGAATGTCTTAGGGCTGTCTCTGGGCTGCCCTTCCATGACCCTGTGATTTCTATGGATATCTGATCAACTCATCCCTGTTTCTGGGCAAACAGCCGAGGGCCTTCCCTTCATACATGACATCATGTCCCCAGACTGTTAAAGCTGATGTATTAATCTGGTTCTCAGGACCACAGGGACACGAGATGAGAGATGCACTGGACAAGCAAATCTTGGCTATTGTAGGTAACAGTTTCCAGACTCTAGAACCTGACATTACCAGTCAGTGGTGGCCCTGGGCTGGCCTTATTTTCCCAGAGCTGTTTCAGTGCAAAGATATCCAACATTTATTGGGAAATCCATGCTGCTCCTCCCAGTAGAGAAAGGGGCTCCCAGCTGGAGGGGACATGGAGGTGTGAGGGATTCTTGGCTGTATCCTATATAATAAAAGCCTAATATGCTAAGTGTCCAGTGGTCTGGTCGTCAGTTCAACCAATCAAAGCATAATATGCTAATGATACGCTAAGGCCACTCAACTGCTCACTATGACATGCACTGACCACCAAGGGGCAGACAGTCGACCAGTTGCTATGACGTGCACTGACCACCAGGGGGTAGACGCTCCAACTGGTATGTTAGCTTGCTGCTGGGGTCCAGCCAGTCGGGACTGAGCTAGATGGGCCGGACATGCCCTGGAGTCCTCCAGCGATCCCTCCCCAGCTGTCCAACTTCCCGCATCCCTCCCCGGCCCTGATCATGCACCAGTGGGGTCCTTCAGCCTAGCCTGCACCCTCTTGCAATCCAGGACGCCTCAGGAGGGCACATTATCTATCAGGTAGTTCCATCTATACAATAAAAGCATAAGTGACCATTACAGCGGAACAACCAGAATGACCAATCACTATGATGTGCGCTGACCACCAGGGGGCAGACCCTCAATGCAGGAGCTGTCCCCTCATGGTCAGTGTGCTCCTACCGGGGGAGTGCCACTCAGCCAGAAGCTGGGCTCATGGCTGGCAAGCACAGTGGTGGTGGCAGAGCCTCTCTCGCTTCCATGGCAGTGCTAAGGAGCAGCAGGCCGAGCGGTAAGGAGCGAGCAGGCAGGCGGTAGGGAGCAAGGGGTCCCAGACTGTGAGAGGGTGCAGGCCGGGGTGAGGGCCTCCCTGCCCCACCCTGCCAGCCAGTGCACGAATTTTGTGCACTGGGCCTCTAGTACTTAATAACCTTAAAACCTTGAACAAGTTATCCAATCTCTCTTGCACCCAGGATCCTTAGCTGTTCCTGGGGCAAGGCCTGTAGAGTGCTTTATTCTGCAGTGTGCTCCCTGACTTTGGTTAATCCTTGATTTTCAGACTGAGAGAGGTCCGGTAACTTATTCAAGAGCCCCCTGGTAAATTGTTCTCTAGGTTTAATTTTAAGTCTCCTGCCGGGCTCCTGGTGTTCAGGATTTTCTTTGCTTCCCGCCACAGAGAGGTGTGAATGGGCTATGAGTCAGAATGGGTTTGGTGGGTCACTGAAGGTTACACAAGCGGGAGTGCTTATGTCTAGAAAGGCAATTCCTGGACTGGCTCTTTGGGGTGAGAACACAGAGATGGCTAGATCATGAGCGTTTGCCACTTACACCTAGTCACCAAGGAGAAACAGTTTTGAGATGTCAAGCCGAAGGAAGCGGCTTTGCTTTCTCCAGTCCTACTGGGCTCTGCCCCCACAGCCCGCTGCCATTCGGGCTGATGCAGCTGCTGAAAGGGCCGGGCAGGAGCCTCTCACCCCTCTGCCCCAAGTGTTTCAGTGTCTTTGTCTTTGGTTTTAAAATAAACATTTAACCCGAGAAATCACATTTTCTTTACATTAAAAAGTCACACTTTAAGCTTGTGCTTTTGTGAATTTTTTCTGTAGTCCTCAAAATAGTCACTAAGTTTCTTCTTCTTACTAGTTTATCTGGAAGCTTAAAAAGTGAAGGAATACACTAACTAGAACAGCTGTGGGTAAACTACGGCCCGCGGGCCGGATCCGGGCCCGTTTGAAATGAATAAAACTAAAAAAAAAAAAAAAAAAAGACCGTACCCTTTTATGTAATGATGTTTACTTTGAATTTATATTAGTTCACACAAACACTCTATCCATGCTTTTGTTCCGGCCCTCCGGTCCAGTTTAAGATCCCATTGTGGCCCTCGAGTCAAAAAGTTTGCCCACCCCTGTACTAGAATCTTCAATGTAAAGAAAAGAAGTAATGGGAGGTTTCCTCATACCTGCTGTGGCTTATTGTCCTGCTCCCATGGCGGCTCACAGTCCTGTTTCCGTGACTCACTGTCCTGCTCCCGTGGCGGCTCACAGTTCTGTTCCTGTGACTCACTGTCCTGCTCTCGAGAATAGTCAGAAATAGGCCCCCCATCTACAGGGAACGACAGGTGGCAGAGAAGGTACTTTAGTAAAGAAACATGTAACACCTGAGACAACAGAAAGTCCCTTTTAAAAGGAAAATTCATATCCTTACAATCCACAGAATAAGTCCCATTCTTACCACTGAGGAACTCTGCATCTGTTTCAAACTTGCTGGCCTGAGGCCACATGGTTTGTGTCTCTAGACACATGTTTTAGTGTGTAGAGCAGAGGTGACAAGAAGTAGCCACCGAGCCCTCATCCTGGCACTCGGTGGCAGGCCCATTAAGATGTGGACGTGGATGGTAGGAGGTTGTAGAGAGGAAGCAATGAAAATATCAAAGAGTAAATTAATTAAATAAGTCTTGAAAACATCTCCAGGTATCACCACTTGAAAATTCACCTGGACTTCTGTTAAGAGGATAAGATTAAAAAACAACAACAACAGCAAAAAAAACCACAACTCCCTGCCCAGCTGGCGTGGCGCAGTGGCTGGGCATCAGTCTGTGAACCAAGAGGTCACAGTTCGATTCCTGGTCAGGGCACATGCATAGGTTGCAGTCTCGATCCCCAGTAGGGGGCATGTAGGGGGCAGCCGATCAAAGATTCTCTCTCTCCCTCTCCCTTTCTCATTGAAATCTATAAAAAATATATTTAATAAAAAAAAAACTCCCTGAGCAGGAAAAAAACAATCATACAAGCAAAACTTAATTTAGCTTATTTTACAAGGCTAACTTGACCTTGTTTGTGCCTCTGAAAATCATGAGGAAAACTTGAACTTTTCTCCAAGGTTGACATGAGGTAACCACTGATCAACCCGTCATTTAAGAAAATGCTAACATCAGAATCAATCACTGTGAAGAATGAACAGGCACTGCTTTCCCACTGTGTAAGCTGCCGTATAACAGCGTGCTCCTGAGCCTCATGCCATGTTTTGTTTTGAATGCTCCCAGTTTGCAAACTGTCTTTTTGGTGTATGTGTGGTAAATTTTTACAATTATTCTTTGATTTTGTTTCTCATATTTTTTTATTGATTTTTAGAGAGAGAGGAGGAAGAGGGAGAATGAAAGATAAACATCGATGTGAGAGCTGAACATTGATTGGTCGCCTTCTGCAGGCCCGCTACCTGGGCTCAAAACCCCAACCTGGGCATATGCCCTGACTGGGAATCGAACCAGCAACCTTTTGATACATGGAATGATGCCCAACCAACTGAGCCACACCGGCCAGGGCTGATTCATGGTCTTTACGTTGGCTATTTATGAATCTTTAACAAAGGCTCGTTCTTCCCTCTGAATTAAAGCAAACACACAGTTTTGTTTTAAAAATACTGGGACATAGAGGGGCTTGTCAATTTAAGAATACATTTTGCTGCACTAGGGTTGCAGGTTCGATCCCTGGTTGGAGCACATAAAGGAATAAACTGGCAGGAATCAACCAGTGAATTCATGGGTCAGTGGAACAGCAAATCAATGTCTCTCTCTCTCTCTCTATCAAATCAATAAATGAAAACTTTTTTAAAAAGAAAACATTTTGCTGATTCACAGCTGTGAGGTTGTTTCTACCTTTACTTAATTTTTCATAAGCACTGATTTTTTCCAGCAGGCTCAGGTTGATTTGTTTACAGATTCTTTTTAGGGTGTCCAAATTTCTTTCTCCAAGGATGAGTCTCTTCTCCATCTCCATAAAAATATCAAGCAAGCTCTAGAGGGAAGAGAAAGTTGGAAGATGGAATTGGGCCATATTGGCTTTTAGATTAGATTTTTGTTTTTACTTGCATTTTCTCCAACCCACGGGACTACCCTAGTTTCCCAAGCAGACTCTCCTGAGAAGACATCCTGGTCTCTCAAAGCCAATATACTGCTAGGAAGGCACTTCTGTGTTTTCTGGCCCAGAAATAGAGAAGACAGAGGAGACACCACATCAGTCCCCAGGACCCAGCCCTGTGCTAAAACCACCCATGACACTTTCATGTGAAATAGCCAGAGGTGCACCCTGAGACAGCCATCGCCCCAGTGGTGACAGCCTTGGGAATTGCCTAACATTTCCTCTGGCGTTACACACACACACACACCACACCACACCAGACACACAAAACCGCACCAGACACACACACACCAAAAAACCCCTGCAACACACCACAGATACACAGACATGCACACGCCCAGAAACACCCCACACACATATAAACACACGTGCACACACATCACACACACAGACTCAGAAAACCGCACCAGACACAGACACCTGTCTCTCCTGGCTCTGCAGAGTCCCACGTTGGGTTGAGCCCCACAACCCCCTTCTCTTCTCCCGACACAGCCTGGCTCCTGGTCATGAACGTGAGCTGCACTTCACAGCACATGGAGGGATCACATCTATACCCTTCATGCCCAACAGCTTTCCTCTTCAACCCAGGCTAAAAAATGAGAATTCGGGGTGCTTTTATCCGAGTAGCCCTCGCTTCAGCCTCAGCAGTCCCCACTGGCTGACTCTTCCTCGGACTGAAGTTGGCATGACACTGGGTCTTACCATGCTATCGGCCAGTTTACATCTGGAGAGCTCCTGGTTCAAAAAAAACTTAAAGTCCTTCAGTTCCACTGCGGTTACATCTTCTGAAATCTGGAAAAGCATGACCCTGTGGTGGGAAATGGAGACACTTGAGAAACGCTTTTTTAAGTAATTTCTCAGGTGATACATGGCGTCACCACAGACTCGATTCCGATGGCCTCCCTTCAAAATAAAGGCAGCTCATTGCATGGTGTAGGAATTGAGTTCTTAGGGAGAGGCTGGTGTAGTGACACAGAAAACTACTGACTCATGCCCAACTATCCAGCTTTAATGAATTCAAATGAACTGTCCTTCATTTCAGCTCCACGAGTTGTGGTTTTCCGATGTCTTCACTATCACGTCAAGATCTTGTTGCCACAAGAAAGTTTTGATTTTGGAAGTTAAGTTTCTCAAAATGCAAATCCGATCCTCACTTCCTAATTAAAACTTGTCAGTGTTCTCCCAGCCGTTACCTTCAGTAGGAAGGCCAAACAGTTGGTTCTGGAATATAGACCTCTGTGAGTTGAGCCCCGCTGACCCCCTCATCTCGGCCACTCCTCACCACCCTCCCACTGTCTCTTCTCCAAGCACACCCAGCTGCCTTGCCCCTCACCCCTTTATGCCTCGCCCCCCTCCACACTCCTATTCCCTTATCTATCTTTAGACAACCACTCATCCACTAACAGCTCACACACTGCTTACGTGCATTCACCCTCTGTGCCTTTGAATCACCCAAAGGGTGACAAATAATTGTCTGCTTATCAAGCTCTCCAAATCCCCTGAGAGAAGGGCCCAGGCCCTGTTTGCTTCCATAAGCTCAGAGGGTTGTGAGGGACAGTGTTTAAATGCAGGGGACCCAGACTAAGGATGTTGGAGCCTTGGTCCCTCCATGCATGAGCTGCGTGACTTCAGACACGTTACACACTTTTGTCTTCATTGTAGACCGCAGATGCTTCTGTATCTATGCATTGGAACGTGTTGGGGAATTACATGAATAAGTTTATCTGCAGTGCTTAAACCAATTTTTGGCAATGCACTAAGTGCTCCATACACGGCATTATTATTTCCTAACCTATGATAGGGTTTGGGGATATGCTTGTTTAATGAGCAAAAGAATGTTTTATAAGTTAGCAAACCTTTCATTAGTATGTTGTAAAGGAAACAACTTTAATGCAAAAACACGTTAATTTCAAAGTTAAATTAGAAAATTAAAATTCTAAAAATAGTAGAAATGGGAGTTACTTAGTATTATCATCTGCTTTGTCCTTCTCGTGGAACCTGTACCCTGGAAGTATTTTGCTAACGCTTTCTCGCTTTGGCCAAGACTGGGTCCAATCTAAAGCCACTGCCCCTTTCCACTTGACTACCAGGTATTTTTCTCTCTTACTTTCCTCATACTGAAACCTACTAGCTTTCTTGTTCCATCGTTGTCTACAAATAAACCTGGATAGTTTATGACACTTATTTTTTAGGTAGCAGTTCTACTTTGACATTTTAAATGTCTAGTGGTTTCTTATAAATGGAAAGCGATCATACTAGTATATTTTTTATTTACTGGCTAATGATAAACAATGCAGAAGCAGTAGCTTGTGCTTGTGCTGGCTCCACCCACCCCCTGCCCCCAAACTAACATGTTGAATATTTTAACAGATAGATCCTGCCCCTGGCAGGGACCCTCGCCCTCCCACAGGAGGGACAGGCCATGTCCGACACTGGCAGTTTGTCTCAGCCCAACAGCCTCCAGAAGACCAAGACGGTGGGCTGAGACCTTCCAGGCTTCCTAGTTTGGGGGATGTTGTTTTTTAGGATTAATTGGTGCCTAATTAAAAAATCCTTTAAAAGAACTTCACAACCCTATTAAACCAAAGTTACCCAGTATTGAATAGTATCCTCCTTCCCAGTTCATGTTCACCCAGAACACATCACGGTGACCTTATTTTAAAAAGGTCTCTGCTGTTGTGATCTCGTTGAAATGAGATCATACTGGATTCCAGTGGGTCCTAATTCAATGACTGGGTCCTTCTAGGAAGAGGGAGTTTCAGACAGACAGACACAAAAGGAAGAACGGAGGCAGAGGTTAGATTGAGGATTCTGCAAGACGAAGGATTGTTGGAAGAGAGAAGTAGATAGCATGTCTCTATTTTTAAAGTCTTGAGAATCACGAAGATGTAACTGGCAGTGACTTGGTATCACCCTAGGTCACCGACTCTCCCACAGGTGGGGACGGCTGAGCTGCAAGGCCTTTGGCAGGCCTGACACCCAAGTCAGTGCCATTCTCTCAGCAGCAGCAGGCCTCACGGCAGCTCAGCAGTCTCTGAGGGCTCTGCCCTGGCCCATCTGGAACGCCTGGCAGTGTGCCCCTCATTGGAGGGTTCTATAATGCAAGTGTGGGAAATTCTCCATTGAGAATTCCTACAATCACCCATAAGCAAGTGGGAGGAGGATTTCAGGGTAAAAAGTAGTGATGCTTTATCCAAAACTAGAGGCCCGGTGCACGGATTTGTGCACCGGTGGGGTCCCCAGTGTGGCCTGCAGGCAGCTGGGGAGGAGCCCAAGCCCTGGCCTGGCACCACACAGCTCCTGCTCATGCTGACCCCACTGTGCATTAGGCTCACCAGCCATGAGCCCAGCATGGGAGCGCACTGACCACCAGGGTGCAGCTCCTGTATTGAGCAACTGCCCCCTGGTGGTCAGTGCACGTCATAGCAACCAGTCAACCGGTCGCTTAGGCTTTTATATATATAGATAAAGTAAGCACACAATGTGGGCATCAAGAAAACAGAAACACCAAGACAACAGACACATATCAGAAAGAGAGAACATTTAGGAAAGGTCTATTTTAATGGCAGCATACTTGCAGGTAACGTTTCACTTTACAATTTTTGTTTTATGGTTTGAGCTTTTTTTTTTTTTCCTCCCTGAATTCTACATCAGGTCTCCACATTTCTTCACCCGGCCCTGATAGGACATCTTCCCAGAGCCTCCAAAGTCATTCTACATCAACAATCTGCAATCACCCTCCCACAGGGATGTGTCCGCTCCCCGTCCCTCCCGTGCTGAGGCTGCAGAGATGGTCCCCACCTGTACGCAGATATCTGAGCCCGGCCCGGGATCTGAAGCTCCCTCCACATCTCCTCCTGGCTGGTGTTCAAGCGCTTTTCCAGTAGATCCAGCCTTTCGATTCGGAATAGCAGCTCCCTCAGGAAGGACAAGTTGCCCTCCTCCAGCATTCTCTTCTCCTGGAGTTTCTCGAAGAGCATCAGGGCGTCCTTGATGGGCTCTTGCTTCCTTGGCGGGATGTGGTCCAGGCACAGGAACTTGAGCGAGGCCACCTCATCACTGCTCAGCGCTTCCCCAATGTCATACAGACAACCGCTGAAATTCATGCTTGTCCGTGTTGGTCAAATGTAGCTGTAGCCTAGGTCAACACACAACATTATGATGAAGAAAAAAAGCACCATTAACTGCGTGGTTCCCTCATCAAATGCTATGACATCATTTACAATACGCGTCAGGCATTTTGCTGTGGGTAGAAGGAAGAAAACAAACAGATAAGCTCCCGCTCTCAAGCAGCTTACTGTATGGGATGGTAGATCTATAAACCAGCCAATGGTCAGGAGAGATGTGATCACAGTGCAGTAGGAATAATAAATGTGAAAATGCACTTGGAAGCAGTGGTTTTCCAACTCTGCAAAGTAGAAGAAGGGTTGTTGAAGCCTTACTCCGACTCTCCCTTGCCTTAAGAGGTGCCTGGAGAGCTGCTGGGTGAGAACCTTGGACTAGGAAGCCTTGAACTTCCCATCCGGCTCCGTCATCCCCTCAGTCCCACAGGCTCTGTGCCTTTGGCACTTTCCTTAACCTCAAATAACCTTAACCTATTTGGACCCCTTTCCTTCCTAAAGCAAAGCAGATGGTTCCCGGCTCTTTAAGCTCCCTGCATTTACTGACATTCTTGGGTGAAAATGCAAATCCTGATTGCACTCAGAGGTACTAAGCAGAGGTAGTGAACCGGACCCCTATATTTTGTACATATGATATTAAAATAGAAATACTTTTGATTTGCACATTAAGGTAAGTGTTAGGTCTGATCAAATAATTGAATCAATTCCCCCTCCCCTGTAAACTGACCCTTAGACCACTTCACAACAGACATTCCCTTTTGCTTAGAGCACATTCCACTTGCTAAGACCATCACCTCTCCCCTGCAGACCTTCCCAGGATCCAGACCTGCACAGAGAATTCTCTGCCCACCTAGAGTCCCTTAAAAAGCTTTGACTCCCACCTTTGGGTGCTGGCGCCATTTGGGGGCACAGCCCATCTGGTATCCAGATGAACTAATAAATTTATAATCCAGAACCACTTTGGCCTCATGCATTCCTCCTTTGGTGAGCCTAACAGTAAGCTTTAAATTTTTTTAAGTGGCCAAAAGGACTTTGAGCCTTTTAAAAACCACCTTCCTGTCTGCACTTTGATTATAAAACCAGTGGGGTTTTTTGGTGAAATTTTAAAATGAGTTATAACATAGTCCCAGTTATCATTACATACACCACACACACACACACACACACACACACTTATATAAAAATTAGGATCAGGCTGCATATCCAGGTGTATACACGTCCCCTCCACACCAGCCCCCACTTAACATTTAAAATAAACATTAATCCCTACCGTTAAATATTCTTCTTTGCCATATTTTTAATGTTTCTAGATTTTTCAGCACATGGATATATCAAAGTTTATCTTACGCATTTTTCTATTTCTTTACTGCTAAAAATCATATTGCATTGAAAGGCTTTTGCATCTGTCCTGTGCCTATCTCTGATAAATTCTCTCTTAGAATTAGAATTATGGGGCAAAACCTTTTTCCTCCCTTTTAATGTAGAGCTGACATCATTGTTTAGACAAGTCTTCTTGAGTCAGGAAACTGAACAGATAGTTATCTCGAAAGACACACTTTGCGTTGGATTCACAAGGGCTGCTGAGCCAAGATCTCTCACGGCCAAAGCAGTCAGTTGTCATGAAAATGCCTTTGTTCGAAAGACATCTTAAATAAGGGGCAGGGGCCAGCACCTCACAGGAGATATTCAAAGTGCTACAAACAAAACTGCCGGACATATAAAGAGACAAACTAGCCAGCTCGTTCTCTAAATCACACTCTATAGAAACACACCTGGGTGCTCAACAGGGTATGTTCGTGGTGTCTCATCACAGCGTGACGGGTAACCCCGAACAACTAGGAGCACCCCACATGTCCTCCAATACAGGGACACTAAGCAAACTAAGGCGTAGTCGCGCCACACAATATCATGCAGAGGTTAAAAAGTGCACTCCGTCTTCCAAACTACAAAGGAATAGAGATTCAAAATATGTGTTATGGTGACAGTGAGAAAAAAAAGCAAGTTGCAATATAACAAAAAAAATCACACACCTACTTTTTAAAAATACACAAAGCAATACAATTAGATTTTCAGTGATTACAGACACGTATGTAAAGCGAGGTCTGGAGGGAGACAGCTCTACTCATCCAGTTGTTCGTCCTGGAGGTGGCGGGGAAAGTGACAACGTGAGGGGGAGTGAGGAAAAGGAATGTGCTAAGGAGAAAGCATGCAGGCATCCTCTGCGTAAATGAAACGAAACTTTAGACACCAGCCTGGTGTGTTCTTGGGTTTAAGAGAGTGGAACAAAGTGCGTGGAGGAGGGGCAGGAAGTGAGGCTTTTGGGGAACCTGAGGAGAGAGAACCCCGGGCATGGAGACAAGATCACGGAGGAGTGACACAATCACATGCGTGTTCTTACAAGAAAACAACAAAAAACTGGAAGGACTGAACATTTCCAAAGAACTCAAAGAACTTACTTTCCCCCAAAGAGCAGGAAACTTTCGCACATCTCTCTCAGAGATTAAAAAATCTAGGAGGCTGACTATGGGAAGACTACAGAAGACCCGCGTGGCACAGCCGACAAACTGTCTCACAGGCATTTCCTCTCGGTGGGAAATACACAACCATTCAAACACGGACAGAATAATCACAAACCCTGTCCACAAGCAAAACTCTAACAGATTTCCAAAAAGCAGAAATAATACAGTCGATGTTCTCTGGCTATTAGACGTTAACAATGAGATTAGAAATGAACATGTTCATTCGAAGTTAACCATGAAAAATGGCCAAATCAAACACACCACCAAAAAAGGCTCTGCACATGCAGGTGACTTTTTAAGCACATGGCGTTCGAACAAATGGGTAGACTCCTGGGACAAGCTGAAATGAAGCCTAACTGAACTCCTTTCATCAAAAGGATCAAAGATTTAATCCTTAAAATTAAAATACTAAGGTAAGACATGGGAGAATTTTTAAAAATAATCTTACAGTAGTGAAGAACCTCTCTAAGTATAACAGAAAACCGGAAAGCCATCAAAGAAAGATTAATAAAATGTATTTAAATAAAAACTAAAATATTCTGAAAAAAACCCACAAAATTTCAAAAAATAAATAAATCTTGTACTGGGAAAAATGGGCAGTAATATGTAATAGGAAAGGGACTAATTTTTTTTTTTTAATAGGACTCCTACATGGACACAGACAACGGGGCAGTGAGGACCTGGGGCAGGGAGTGGGGGCGGGCTGGAAAGGGTCAATGGGGGAAACAGGGAGACATATGCAATACTTTCAATAATAAAGAACTATTTTTTAAAAAGAAAAAAAGGGGGGAGGAGAAAGAAAAGAAAGAGAAAAACTAAAATGGGGGAAGGAGGAGAAAAATGAGAGGAAAAAAGAGAAGAGCGAAAGAAAAAGGTGCAAAAATAATAATAAAAATTTTAAAAAATAAAAAGAATAAATAAATAAGGCTCCTATAAGTCAGTTTAAGGAAAAAAGAGAAAGACCAACCATCCAACGCCTAACTGGGTAAAGATCATAAGCAGACAGAGGAAAAAAGTACCAGTGGCTTTATTTTTTTTTTATAACTAATGGCGTTTTTACATTTGAAAAGATGTTCAACCTCGTTCACAATCAATTTTTTAAAAGCAAACTGAAATTACAAAAGACCATTTTCAACAACAACAAAAAAAGGTAGGTGGGTAATTTGGCCACATCTGTCAAAATATAAAATGTACAGCTCCTTTGACCCCCAATTTAACTTGCAGGACTTTCCCCCTTCGTGAGCTTAACACATTAAGTGCCCTGTCAGTCACCAGTGACTGACACAGAAAGGAAGACAGAACAGGCTTGGCGCTCAGCGTGTTAAACATCAGTGTACGAAACGCATGTACAGTTATTCATGGCAGCATTGCTTGGAATAATAAAGGAGCAGAAACTACTGTTTAATGAAAATCAGAAGAGTTAAATAAGCTTTTAATCATGTCTGACACTACTCTAGTCAACTATTAAAAAGAATGGAAAGGCATCATGGTTGGGTATGTGCGATCTATGGGATGTACTATTAAGTGGTGCATCGATTTCAGAATTCCCAGATCTTTGAACAGAACACACAGGAGGCTGCTCGGTGGTTGCCTCGGAGAAGAGGAAACAGGCCTGGGTGAGTGTGGGGAAGGCCTACAGGTGAACCGGAAAGTGAAACATTTTTCCCCATGTCAAATTTCTACCATGTGCATTATAAATGTACGTACAAACCTCTAAATTAAAATCTCTATTTAAAGACCCATTGGTATTCATATACTCGAATGAGCCTAAACTAGGTCCAGCCTTGTTGGGTACCACTGGATTCAGTGTCTTTAAAATTTTATATCATTTCTAACCAGTGTTAAAATCTTATTTTACAGAATGAAATCAACCAAAGAGTCTAATGCAAACAGAATCTTCTTTTTTCCCTGCCCCAGTTATTTTTTTCTGATGATAACAATCCTTCTCGTATTCATTTTACAAAATAAAGATAAAAAGAAAAAATCAAAATTACCTATGATTCCATCATCCTAAGATAAACACCTAATAATACTTTACTGTCTTTTGTGCCAAATATTTTATGTCTATATATTTTCCCTCACAATTTGTTATAATAATGTTATGGTCATAAGGAAACCCCTCTACTGTGTGGAAATAATTAATGTGTGAAATAATTAATGTGTGAAATGTTTTCTGGGTGAAGACCCCAATACTCTGTAACTTCCAAAATGTGGTGAATGCCCCACTACTTTGATGTGAATGCCCTGAGCCCTTAAGCAGTGGTTCTCAACCTTCCTCATGCCGTGA